AGCTGATAAGAGAAGAGCTCAAAGGTAACAAAGTGTAAATAAGCAAGTAACAAACATATATATATATATATATATAGTATATATATGTAATTTGTTGAATTTACTAATTTATATAAAAAATTTTTGAAAATTGTTTAGATTTTTATTTTTAGATTTATCGTATCAGTTTGTTTCAAATAAATTTGATGAAATATTCCAGAAAGCTCGTTTGGCTCGTATTCGAATAGTTAAAAATGCCAGTGGTAAAGCATTGTATAGTAAGAAGAAAGCACATGAAGCACGGATGCAAGCATTCGAACAAGGATTATTAAGCTTTGATTCATTGAAAGATGATGATATTTTTGAAATTCAACATCGGCATTTGTTACAATGTTTAGAAAAAGCTACCGTAATTAATCAATTTATTTATTTTTTCTCTTCCTTTTTTTTGAAACAATTTCGATATTATTTTTAAATTACGATTGAATGAATTGGTATTCGAAAATGTAAGCATTGTTAAGCTATTGTATTACTCTGGGATTAGTGTTTGAATTATTGTCAATACCGGAAAGCTTATGTCGCATTGAATGAGACAATGCACTGTTGCTCTCAGAATATTTTAATTGGTCAAAATTTTTGAAAAAAAAAAAATTGTTTATACTTAAAGTTGGTATTCTTTTCATCATAAAATTTCGCCATACTTGTGATCATATTGAAAATTTACATTCAAAATCAAATTTAATAATAACAGTATTATGTAAATTTGTACTTGTCAATGAGTAATTTTTACAGGAAAGAGAACTAATTGAAAGAGATATTGTATCCAGTGACAACTTAAGAACAACTCCACCAATCAGTCCGTCCACATCCCAAGGTTTGTTGCCACCAGATAGCAATGGACATTCACGATGGTTCGATTGTTGCAATTCGTGTTATCGTGAGTTTAATTCAAACTATACCCAACTGATAAATTTATCCAATGAATATTTGGGAAGCATCGGAATATCTAAATTACTTGATCTATCAACTCAAACCTTAGCAAACAAAAAAATGGAAAAGAATTTGAATATAAGTCGCTAGAGAATTTGAGAGAAGTGATACTGAATGCACTGAATAAAGAAGAGGTTATATTATTATCCTTATGATTTCGAAATATTTAGAAACATCCCAGGATTCTCCCTAGATTTCCCAGTAGAATATATTACAAACTATTATTTATTCTTTGGAAAAATCGGTTTTTGTTTGTGCAAAATTAGTTTTCAAGCAATTTACAGTTCAAAAATTCGATATGCTGCAGGAAATTCGCCTGATACTGGGTCCATCAACAGATCAGCAAAGACAAGCAGGAAAGAATCATTTTATGAACCCAATAAAAGTGATCACAAATGGCGATCGGCGGATGGACAACAGGAACAACAACAGCAACACCAAATGGATCAACGGAAACTGGGAAATGCCCTTGAAGCAAACCGTCTTTTTAGCACATCAGCATTATGATTGTGCGAAGCATCTTGGTACGATGATTATTATCGATCAAGAAGTCAGTGTACAAATGCACCAGACGTACGCTAAGATAATGACACGAAATTTTTCGCCATAGTACGGATGGATGAATCTGATAGACGGGTATGCGGTCAAGAGGACCAATCCGAGTTAAAACTTGCCGCCTCACTTGATTGTTCTTGGTGAAAAAATGATCCTTCCTTATTTATAAACTGGAAATACTGTTTCTCTTATGAAAATGATTGACAAATACATCTCCCACAATGTCTTTGATTGATAACAATATTAAATTTGTATAGCATCATGCAACAGCTAGAGCTATTCCCATAAAGGCAAATTCCTCAACAAGCAAATTTTTAGAGAAATTCGTTAAGAAGCTTCTGAATCTATTGAAGTCTTTCAAATATATATATATATATATATATATATATATATATATATAT